TTAAATAACCAAAATAAAAAATCAAAAACTTAAAATACTAAAATTGATTAAATTAAAATTATAATGATAACTTTTTCTCCTTTCAAAATTAATGATATGTCTAGTGGTAAGCGACTAAAATAAAAAATTGGAGGTGGATTATATACCAATTGTTAGATAATTAAAATAGGAGTAAAATGATATAAGTGTAATAATGTTGGCCAATGAATTTTTGACCACTTCCTTCCATTAGAAATGTGTAAAGATAAATTTTAAATTACTTTGGTTTTATTATTGTTATTTAATTGTTAATGCGGAGCACAAAAATAGATATTCCATCATCAAAAAGAAATATCCTCATTGGTGTAGTCGGTAACACTCTAGTCTTTCACACTGGTACCTCGGGTTCGATTCCCGAATGGGGAGCTTTTTAAAATATAAAAATCTTCCCAGAGATTTATATTGTTGTTTTTTTTCAATTATCATATAAATTTTATTTTATTTAATTATTTGATCTTAGTTATTAAATTTTAAAAATAAACTAATATCTCGCAAAAAATTAAATAAAAATTTTACTTATTAATTTAAAGCAATTATCTTCACTTTTAAAAAAAAAGTTTTTTTTGTTTTTATAAAAAAAAATATATAAAAAATATATACAATTCACAAGAAATAATTGCATATTTATTTGATTTTTAAAATTATATATTATTTATTTTATTTATTTTTAATTTATTTGGTTTCTGAAATTGCTATTACTATTTGATCCAACTGGGGAAGATTCTACACTAATGAGATCAGATTATACCACTTGTTACAAATTTATAAAGATCAGAGGTTGATGAGACTACCAGATACAAAAGACAATAACATCGAGAATTTGCACAGCTTGGAGAAACAGACTCGATTCTTCTAATTTTTGATAAAACATATGATTCACTGCTGCTATAAAATATTCTAATGCACTACTTTAATGGGTTCTACACTACACTTTATGTAAAATATTTTAAAATTTTACTTGTTGCTACAGATTTTGAGCCACCAAATATGACACTACTCAAATCAGGTTATTTATCATAACCTGTTAATGAAATATGTAACCATATATTGACCTAAATTACTAAATATAATAAAAATTAATTTGTGTTAGAAATTCATATATTCCTTATTTATTCAACGAATCCTATTTCTAAATAGATTTCTTGTTTTTATTTAAATATAATGTGCTTATTTACTTACCTGTATTTAAAGGCTTTTAAAATATTTCCCTAATAATGTTGAAATTATTATTATTGATTGGTTATTGTTTGAATTTTTTTTTGTGTAGTGTAAAAACAAAATAAAAAAATTAAAGAAGTAGTTGTTGTTGCGTTTGTTTTTGTTGTTGGAGCTGGATTTGTTGTAATTGTTGGAGTTCAAGGAGTTGCTCCTGTTGGATTTGTTGGAGTTGTTGGAGCTCTTCCTGTTGTTGATCTCTCAATTTTGCCCAGGATTGGTTTTCACTGATTTCTTTAGCACTTAACCAGCTCTCTTCTTTGCCAATGGTTTTATTGAATAATACAATACCAAAACAAAATGATAAGAAAATAAAGATGGCAACAACAATTAATAAAATAAACATGTATAAAAAATAATTCATTTTTGACAAAAATAAATTATTTAAATAAATAAAAAACAAAAAATAAAATAAAATAGAACTATGTGTGTATAAAAACGAGTGAATATTATTAAATGTAAGTTATTGTTAAAAAAAAAGCTGATGGATGAAAAACTATATGTGTGGTGTGAAAACTAGAATTTTTAATTAATAAAAAAAAAAAAAAAAATTTTATATACAATTTTTAAAAATTAAAAAAAAAAATAAAAAATAATTAAAACAAAAAAAAATAAAATTAAATAAAATACAAATAGGTAAACTTTTCCTTAAAAAAAGATTATTTAACTAATTAATTAATTATTTAAATATAAAATATAATCCTTATTTAGTATAATTCAAATTGAATAAATTAATTATATTATAAATATTAAAATTAATAATTATTTTATTTATTTTGATCGATGTTTATTATTAAATGGTGAAAAAATGTGTTACTGAATTATCAAATTATAAAATGAGTGAAAGAATGGGTGAAAATTTAAAAAAAAAAAAAAAAATTTATTATTATTAATTTATTTAAATGTAAGATTTTCCTTATATAAATATATCAACCGTATAAAACATAGATAGACCAATAATAAAATAGGATAATTTTAATTAAATATACAAAAAAAAATTAAAAAAGGTGAAGCTGGATAATGAAATAGCTTCAATTAGGTGAATATAAAAATAAAAAAAATTGCAAATGTTTTAAATTTATAACATTTGCAAAATTGGAGGGTGAAGGGGAAATTTACCAGAATGAAGACTTATTATCACCCCATCTTAATAAAGTGTAAGGTATGAAGATCAAATAATTAAATAAAATAAAATTTATATGAAATTGTTTTATTCGAAAAACTAAAATGTTTTTTATATTTTTTATAAAAAAATTTTTAAAATCTTGACTTTTAAAAAAAAAAAATTTTTTAAAGATTTGTTGTTAATGAAATATACTCTTGTATTATTTCTTTTTTTAATTCCTCTTTAACTTTATATATATATCTTAATTATTAAAAAACAATAAAAAATTTAAACTATATAGTTTTCTTTGTAAAATTACTAAATTTAATTACTAATTTATATATTTTGTATACATAGTTTTATTTTGGTTGTTGTGAGTTCTCTTCTGTTTTGTACTTCTGATTTTTCTTGTTCCAGTTGTTCTAGAGTTATTTGATCTTTTGTTTTGTTGAGCTTGATTAGCTTGACAATTTTCCGTTTGAGGTTGTGTGTGGTGGGACCATACTCTTAGATAGATATTTAAGTTTGAATGTTGGTATGCTGGGATTTCTATTCCCATTTCACTCATTTCCTTTTCAGTTGGTTTCAGAAGTTCTTACTCCCAGTTAAATAGGTCATATTCATTTCCATTTGCTCTTATTTGTATTCTTCTTGAGTCAAGAACTATTCCTCATTTTTTAATGATTTTAGTTATTATTTCATTTTTATCTGTTAATATTGTATTCCTTTTTTTTTGTATTTTGTTTGACACATAATATTTTGAATCTGAGTCTGAAATTAATTCTTTTAAGTTAATTTCTGTAAATTGAGGTGTAATGTAGATTTGGCAAACATACTTCCATTGTTTTTTTTTTTATATTTCTGATCAGCTGAAATTGCAATATTATCTTATAACTTCTTAATTCATCGTAAGATTTGTTGTTGTTTGTGCTACTATTAATAATAATAGTAGCACAAACATGTAATATGGAAACGAAAAAATAAAAAAATAAAAAAAAATAAAAAAAAATATTTTTATCTTCTTCAAAAAATGTTTCAAAAAAAAAAAATTTTAAAATGCCCATTTTGATAAACACAACAAAAAAATTCTGATGACTTAATTAAGGAATCATCTTCACTTTTAAAAAAAAAAAAGTGAGGAACAATGATTTTTAAAAATTTGTTTTTTGATAAATTAAAATAATTGTTGTAGATTATTATTAAGTAATGATCCTTGCTCATTACATTGTATGCAAACTTATACAAGTATAAAATAATAATCTCCACTTTTAAAAAAAAAAAAAGTATAAAACACATTGTAGTTATATCTTAAATAAATATATGGTAACCTCTTTTGCTTTAAAAAATCTTCACTTTTAAAAAAAAAAAAAAAATACTGATGTGCAAGTATTATTAAAAATCATCTTCACTTTGAAAAAAAAAAAAAAAAAAAAATTTAAACTTTGTTCTGTATTGAGTTATGTGAGATTGCTTTTTCAAATCATATTTTAATTATAAATATTTTTTTTATTTATTATAAATATTTATTTTTTATTTTAATTATTTTTTTATTAAAAATAAATAAAATAATTACTATAGAGTTATTAAGATAATACAAAGTATTGTTTTTTTATGTGTGTGTTGTTATTTATTGTGTATACCAGAGAAATTTGTGTGGGTGTTACAAAATATTAATCAACAAAAAAAAAATTTTGATGGGTTTTTGGCAATAGTTATTGATAGTGGTTCAAATAAAATAAATAAAAAAAAAAAAAATTAAACCAAATTAAATTAAAAAATTTGAAAAAAAGATTTTAAAATTAAAAAAAAATCAATTTTTTATTTTTTATTTTTTTTTAAAATTTTATTTTAAATAACTTTTTTTTTTTTTTTTTTTTTTTTTTTTTTTTTTTTTTTAAATTAAAATTTAAAAAAAGCACCCACCCCCCCTTTTTAAAATATTCCCATTCCCCTTATTCCAATAATTTCATTTTTTTGATTATAATAATTATTAAAATTTAAAAAAAAACTTTTTGAGAACCCGAAAGTTATTAATTAAAAAAAAAATTTTATCTAAATAAAAAAAAAAATTTTGGATTATAAAAAAAAGGGCAAATTCCCCAGGGGCTTTTTAAAAACCAGGAAATTCTATTTTTCCTTTGGGGCAAATTTTAAAAGGGTTAAAAAAAAAAAAAATTGTCCAAAAAAAAAAAACCAATTTATTGGAAAAGGAGTGGTTCGAAAGGTTTAAAGGGGGCCCCTTTAAGCGCGAATAAAAAGAAGAGGTTAAAATTTTCTTTAAAAAAGGGGTGGCCTTTTGGCCTTTTTTAAAATTTACCGCCCAACCTTGGTCCCAAAAATATTTACAAAATTCGGGGGAATTTTTTTTTTTTTGGGATTTTTCCATTAGGGGGGGGTGATAAAAATAAAACCATCCCTTTTTTTATTT